CAGAGGGGTTTGCCTTGGCAAGGAGAAGGGCTTCCTGTCACATGAGATAGGATGAAGGAGATAGATGGGGAAGGCATCTAGGGGATATGAGATGAAGAGCAGCAGGGAGGAAGGAGCTCTCAGCACATACCCTCAGTTATTTCAGTGAATATGAGGCAAAGTTGCCAGGTGAGAGGGTGAAGAGATGAGAGGCCAGAGGGGGTTTGAGGAAGGATTGTGGAGAGTAGGATGGTCAGTTAAGGAGGGGGTATAGAAGGATAGTCTTGCTTCAGGGAGGTCCAATGGGCCCAGGCAGCAGAGTTTCATGATTTTCTACAGCTTCCTTAAGCCTCACACATGTAAGAGAGAAAGAGTAATTAGAGACTGAGACTTGGGGAAGGGGAATCACCCTGAGAATTTCTGCCTCGATGTCCCTTGGGCATCCATTCCAGCTACCTCCAGTTCCTTGGATGAGAAGGCACTCCATTCAGACCACACTCCCTCTTTGCTTTGGCTGTAGATTCCCAGCCTTCTTCAATGCACAGCCCGGGTCCTGAGCTCTCACTTTCGTTTGGACTTCCATATCATGGCTCTGTATTTGGTTACTTGCGTACTATATCTAGGTCAATCACTCTGTATTGTATATACCCAGTAGAACGGATGCTTCTAGGAGTCAGGACTTAGGTCACAGGGCTATTTCTGGAGGATATTTCACCAAAACAGGGCACAAGAAGCAGGCTTAGGTAGGTAGGTCATGCAGCTGCCTCTAGAAGGAGCCTGGCCACATGCAGGTCCCAGGGAGTCTGAGCCTGGGTCAGAGGTAAATTCTGGAACTAGATTGAACTGCGTTGCAAGAACTGATTGTTGTATTTTCAATATGATCATTGACAGATATGAAATAAGCAAATATGACAAATGCACACTTGGTTTATTGTTCTGTTGATTGTCTAGATTTAAAAAAGCAATAGAAGGGAATAAACATTCTCTGTATCTATCTATCTGTCTATCTATCTATCCATTATCTCTCTGTCTCTCTCTCTCATCTATCTGTCTATCTATGCATCATCTCTCTCTCTCTCTCTCTCTCTCTCTCTCTCTCTCTCTCTCTCTGTCTCTGTCTCTGTGTGTCTGTCTGTCTGTGTCTATCAATCCATTCATCCATCCATCGATCTATGTGTATATGTATCTATCTATCCATCATCATCGTCATCATCATCTCTCTCTCTCTCTCTCTCTCTCTCTCTCTCTCTCTCTCTCTCTCTCTCTCTCTCTCTCATCTCTCTCTGTCTCTATGTCTCTGTCTATCTATCAATCATTCATCATCATCAATCTATCTCTATATCTATCTATCTATCTATCCATCTCTGTCTGTCTATCTATCTCTACTGCTTCATCTATGTACCTATCTATTTCAACTATTAAATGCCAGGCATTCTGCCTTGTGCTTTACAAATATCTCATTTGATCGTCTCACAACCCTATAAGGTAGTCGCTGTTATTATCCCCATTTTACAGTTGAGAAACTGAGGCAAATATTAAGTGACTTGTCTAGGGTCACACAGCTAGTAAACGTCTGAGGCTGAATTTGAATCTGCTGACCCACCTAACTGCTTGAGTGGAGGCACTTCTGGTGGAGAAAATGTTAATGATGCAGAATAAACATTTTGGCATGGCTTAAGGGAGCCTGGTCACAGACAAATCCCGGAGAGTCAGAGCCTTAGGCATGTGTCATACAGATGTGTGTTTAAAAGTTTAGTGATAGTAAAATAACAAATAAATAGAAAGGGCATATTTTTATTTTTATTTTTTTAAATTTTATTAATTTATTTTGATTTATCAACATCACTTCCATATGCTTTTGAGTTGAAAATTTTTCTCCCCTTCCCCCCCCCACCCTCCCCAAGACGGCGCACAATCTGATATAGGCTTTACGTTTACATTCCTATTAAACATATTTTCACATTAGTGAAGTGTAAGTAAAAATTAAAACCAACAGGAGGAACCATCAGAAAGGTGAAACAAAACTCAACAGAAGGTTGATGATAGCGAGTCGACTTCCATAGTTCTTTTTTGGATGTGGACAGCATTTTCCATCCCGAGGCCTCTGGAGACGTCTTATATCTCATAATGCTGAGAAGGGTTCAGTTAACAATCTTAGTCATCACATAATGTGGCTGTTATTGTGTACAAAGTCCTCTTGGTTCTGCTCACTTCACTCAGCATTAGACCATGTAAGTCTTTCCAGGTTTTTCTGAAGTCAGCCTGTTCATCATTTCTTATAGCACAATAGTATTCCATTACATTCATATACCACAACTTGCTCAGCCATTCCCCAATGGATGGGCATCCTCTCTATTTCCAATTCTTTGCCACCACAAAAAGAGCTGCTATGAATATTTTTGTACATGTGGGTCCTTTTCCCATTTGTTTGATCTCTTTGGGATATAGCCCTAGAAGTGCTATTGCTGGATCAAAGGGTATGCACATTTTTGTAGCCCTTTAGGCATAGTTCCAAATTGTTCTCCAAAATGGTGGGATCATTTCACAACTCTACCAACGATGTATTAGTGTTCCAATTTTCCCACATCTTCTCCAACATTTATCATTTCCTGTTTTGTCATGTTGGCCAATTTGATACGTGTGATGTGGTACCTCAGAGTTGTTTTGATTTGCATTTCTCTAATCAACAATGATTTATAGCATTTTTTCATATGACTATAGATGTCTTTAATTTCTTCATCTGAGAACTGTCTGTTCGCATCCTTTGACCACTTATCAACTGGGAAATGGCTTGTGTTTTTATAAATTTGTCTTAATTCTCTATATATTTTAGAAATGAGGCCTTTATCAGAGAGACTGGTTGTAAAAATTCTTTCCCAATTTTCTACCTTCCTTGTAATCTTAGTTGTGTTGGCTTTGTTTGTGCAAAAACTTTTCAATTTAATGTAATCAAAATATCCATTTTGCTTTTCATAATGTTCTCTATCTCCTGTTTGTCATGAATTGTTCTGTTCTCCATAGATCTGATAGATAAACTATTCCTTGTTTCCCAGTTTACTATGGTATCAGCCTTTATATCTAAATCTGAACCCATTTTGACTTTATTTTGGTATATGGTGTGAGATTTGGGTCTATGCCTAGTTTCTGCCATACTCTTTTCCAGTTTTCCCAGCAGTTTTCTTTTAAAGAGTGGGTTCTTATCCTAGAAGCTGGGGTCTTTGGGTTTATCAAATAATAGATTACTATATTCATTGACTACTGTGTCTTGCATATTTAACCTATTATACTGATCCACCTCCCTATTTCTTAGCCAGTACCAGGCAGTTTTGATGATTGCTGCTTTATAACACAATTTAAGATCTGGAATTGCTAGGCCACCTTCCACTGCATTTCTGTTCATTAGTTCCTTTGATATTCTGGACCTTTTGTTTTTGCAAATGAATCTTGTTATTATTTTTTCTAACTCTATAAAATAATTTTTTGGTAGTAAAGTGCATATTTTTAATGAAGCGATTAGGCATTGATCCATAAGGGGGCAACAGAGTGAGGTCTGAACTGTGGAGTGTTATCTGAAACATAGAATGCACCTTGGTTTTATTTGCTTATTGGACGGGCATTAACTGCACTTGCCGTTCTTGGTATCCTGAGGATACTAAGCATGGGTAGCATGAATAGGTGCTTAATAAATATTTATTGATTGGTGTCCCCTTTCTCAGAATTAAATTGCATGTTTGTTTTTTCCTCTGCCAACTGTTAATGGTAGTAAAATATTGTCTTTATTCTCTTGGAATGTATAAAAATATTTTTGTGAATGTTACTCTATGGAGAGAGATGGTCTAATCTAAATTCCAGCCCCGGCTTGTCCTTGCACACACAATTTGAGTAAAGGCTTGCTTTTGATAAATTCAGTGTTACGGATTTACTTCCTTACAAATTTGAATTGTTTCCTTAACTTCAGGCACAGTGAGGTCCCAGGGCACAGAGCATCTGGAAGATGCATAGCCCCTTAGGGAAACAGTCTAACATGGCCCCACAATTCTGATAATGTGGTGCTTGGACCACACTTGGCAGCAATCCCTGGTATTCTTTTTGCCAGACTTTTTGCTCGTGGGTGTGGACCCAGACAGGCCAGGAGTGGGAAGGGGACAGGGCTGGCATGAGGGAGGAAAGTAGACAGGAGCACTCTTGGTGGTGACTGACACTTTGCCATAGCTTGGTCAAGTTGGGGAAGCTAACAATGTTAGCTCTGATTAGGCTTGGGCATCAATTAGAGCATTCCAGGAACTGACTTGACCTTTCAAAATCATGTTTTCAGTTGTTCATTGTTGAAAGGAGGTTGGAGGGATTCTCTCAATCCGTTCTTTGTATGTCCCAGGGAAAACTCTCTGGGATGTGGGGAGGGTTTGTTGACTGGATTATGAGGCCAAACAGATATGCTTTTAGGGATCAGACTTTGTTTCTAGACATTGAACAAATAACAGAGTTAAAGGTTCACACTTGGATTTACTGACCATGTGAGCATAGGAGCCATGGTCACCTGCTTCACTTGCAATTTAGGCCTTCATTTTGGCCTAGTTTGGGATGGGAAGCTACCTACACAAATGTAATCCAGACCCCAGATCTGTCTGGATGACAGATTGTTTGGAAGCCCTGAGGTATCTACTCTACCCCGATGGCCCCAGCATTATGTCCTCCTCCTCCAATACCAGCAGGTCTGGAAAGAGCCTTCATTAAGAGAACAATGCTTTTGTGAAGCCCAGTTCTGGTTCCAAATCGAATCCAAACTGCTCCTCCACGGCTCTAGGAAGAGGTACTTTGTACACTGTGAGTGGAGCTATGAAATGTTGGAGGCCCCAAAGTGGCTATACCACTTTGGCCCAGCTATACCACTGCTAAGGCTCCAAAGAGATCTCTCCACAGAGATCAAGGAAAGAGGAAAAGGAATGTCTGTACCAAAGTATTTATAGCAGGTCTTGTTATAGTAACCCAAAAATGTAAACTACAGTTGACTACCTCCTGGGGAATGGCTAAACACACTTTGGGATGTGATTGCAATGGGACATTATTGAGCATAAGAAAATCTACATTCATACATAGTAAATGCTTAATATAATAAATGTTTGTGGACCTGAGTTGGTCCCTATGTGGGCTCAGTCCTGCAGTCTTTGAGCCCACAGAGAGGAGCTGTGTTGAAAGAGAGCAGGTGCTGAGATTGGAGTGATCTCCCTGATGGCACCAAAGACATCTACCAGCCAGATCGTCACCCTCTCCAGGGTATCTGTGACAGGAATGTCTGAGAGATGACATGCATCTTCACAAGATGCATTTCTAAGCAAGTTCAACACTCCTGCTGACAGAGGTCTGAACTTAATTCAGAAGGATGAGATGAAACATTCCCCAAAAGGGAAACAAAGGAAGAGAAAGGAAATCGTTGGCCTGGCCTGACACCAGAGCTGGACTTTTCCTTCTTGGCCCTCTTGGAAGGTGCTGGGAGGGGGCTGGGCTTGGGGACCCCTTGCAGCATCAGATTCTCAGTGGCCCTGGGGCTCCTCGAACTCCTGAATGGATGAGTTCAGGTTGGTCTGGATTGCTTCCTCAAAGTCAGTCTTAGCCAATTTTGACTGCTCGACTCACAGAGATAGCAGCCTTGGTCACCTTCAGCCTTAGCTACACAGGTACTGCACACTCTTAGCCCCACCCCCAAATTGTCAAGGGCAAAGTAAAGAGATAATGGGGAGCCCCCAACTCCCTCCCCCACAAATTGTCACATTGCCACACCTCACAATTCGGTTTCCCTCTATAAGAATTAATAAATTATTCAATAAATGGCAAGAAGTCATTTCCCACACTAAAGAAACACCTTGCAGACAGTGATGAGGGTTAGGGCACTGGCAGTGGCGGGTGGGGAAAGGTATTCTCCAGGTTTGGCCCCTGAGATGGCCGTTCCCTTGGCTTGCTCACAGAACTTCCAGTGTGAGACATCCTTTCTTTATCCAGAAGTTGCTCTGGCTGACAGCTTCTGGGAAGGTTTCTTGGGAAAGGAAGGACTCCTCAGGACCCAGGTGACCAAGTTCCCAGCTTTCTCTTGGACTGCATTCATAAAGGAAGTCTGGGGCTGTGGTGAGCACTGGGTCCTCCTGGTTCTGGGAATAAGATACAAGAATGAGGAATTTCATTCCAGGAAATAGAAGAATGAAAGGGCACTTTCTTAGAGGGCTTATCAGAGAGTCTGCTTTGTTGTTCTGCCTTGACATGAGGGGAGATGCTGGTAAATCTTTAACAACTGGCTGTCTGAAAAAAATGTATGCAGGACACACTTTTAGGTTAATTTGCATTATTAAAATGTTCTCCATCTTGTTTTTATCTAAAAATCAACAAGATAGTGAATGAAGCCCTGCTTTGGGACATTTGCTGATTTCAGAGACAAAAATGCTCGCACAGAAAAACAATTGTCTTTTATGAGCCAGTAGAAGCTGATTCCAAGCACCATCACTCTGGATTGTCTGGTCCATATTCTGCTGTGGAGACCTCCTATGATTTCTGTTTTGCTACAATTTGTTTATTTGCTATGTGTGTGTGTTGTGGAACTGGTATTAATTAGATGGGGAAGGGGTCAAGCCTTGGATATAGAAGTTGGGGTTTCCTTCCCCCCCAAATCACAGAGTGATCAAAAGTTAGATGCAGCCTGATTCTATCCCCTAGACAATCAATATTCAAGGAAGCACAGAGTTATAGCCCAGTGTCCCTTCTCTCTGAGGAGAGCAGAGTGGTAGCCTCCAGCCCCAACCTCGTGGTTCATCTTGTGGCAGGAATTAAAGTGTCCTTTGGAAAAGGGAGAGTAAGTGGAGAAGAAGCTATAGATGTTGATTCTGCCTCTCTTTGGGCTCTCTCTACACATGGAGGGCCTGCTCTCTAGCCTTACAGAAGTAAAGAAGGGGCTCAGTTGACTCTGGAGGGAGATGTGAAGGGGAGGCTGGGTGGCCTCTGGGAGGTCCGGCAAGCCTGGCATTCTGTGGTCCTGTGGCAGAGATCAAGGTTGAAATTGATGTAAGCTTCAAAGATAAGAGGAACATAATGGCCTGGTTATGGGGCTTGGACCCTAGGGATCCCCAGAGATAGATAGCATCCAGTCAGTTAACTCACCCTCCATTGCTCCAGGCCCCCATGGGGCTATGACCAGGGACTCGTGCTTTGACCAGCCTCCATATTGGTGCCTAAATGAAAAGGAAGAAGTGCAACCAACAGAGGCTTTCTGCAGAGCAGAGGAGGAGTGAACAGCAGAGGATAGGACATGTGTGGAAAGTATCTTGGGCCTGAGGACCCAGCTGCTCCCAGCAGGAAGTTACCAAGGAATGCTGCTTCTTTGTCCCCCCATGGCTGGATGCCCATCTGGTGGTAAGATTGGTTTATTCAGGTTTGCTTCAGGCCATCTTGACATTTTCTGTCAGCTCCCTTCCTGATATACATCAGGCAGATCCAGGACCAAGCTATCACCAAGCAGGACCCAGATACTCCCATGCTCAAGTGAATATCCACCCTCTGCAGCCACACACTCTCCTAGGAGCCTAGAAGAAGTACCTACCCAAGGTCACCACGCTGCTGGGGCTGCCGACTCCCTTGACTGCTCTTCCACATCTTTCCTCTCATCCACATGATCCAATCCCTGAGCCTTCCCCTGGCCCCTCTAGAGGAAGGACTGACTTTTATTGTGTATAGATCCTATTGATATGGCTGGAAGCCTTGGGAGGGTTAGGGTTAAGGTTAGGGTTAGGGCTCCACGAATGTCAGCCCTCAAAGACCATGGAAACTCAACGAATGTCAATGCCAGATCCTTGGCCTAAAGAAGAGAGGGTAATAAACATATCCCTCCTCTTGGTAGAGGGGTGTGTGTGTGCATGTGAGTACATGTGTATGTATGTGTGCAAACATGTGCATGTGTGTGCACATATGTGTGGGCATATGGGTATGTGTGTAAATGACTAGGAGTGCAGAATGTTGCCTATCCTGTCAGATATGGTTATTCTCAATGTCAGTTTTGCTTATCTATGTCTCTTTCAGGGGATATAATGGTGGTGGTTTTAAAAAAAACATGCATTGCTTAAACAAAATTAAAATGAGGGGCTCAGACTAGATGGTGTTTAACCCTGTTCGAACTAGGTGGTCCATGACTCAGTGATTTTGAGCCTCAGGTTTTCCTTTCTTCTCAAAAGAAATAGCTATGGAGATCTCTAATACACTATGGTTTGGAGGAAGCCCATGGGGATGCCATCCTACTCTGAGAATTGGGTGGGAAGCATTTAGAGTTAGGCTTAGAGACGGTCACACTCAGGTCATCTGAGGGAGATTGTCTGCATTGAATGCTGAAGTGCCAGGAGCCTCAGAAATCATCTTCCCCAAGGGACTGGGGACTGGGCACTGGGGAAGGAAGCCCAACACAGGTAAGGAAGTCGCTAGAGCTGTGATTCTTCTGCTGCAGACCAAATAGACTTGTTGATGTTATGAGGCTTGGTGAGATTGAAGAGGCAGGTCTATAGCTCCCAGAAATTAGTATTTTCCCATCTATAATAAAGCTTAAATAGGCTGAACTTGTTGACTGCTGTGTACTAGTGATTTCCTCCCTGTCTTTAAAGTTTGCAGGTATTCACTTCCCAACTCCTCTCTTCTGATTCCTGACTCACTCCCCCCCCCCTTTTTTTTGGGATTAAGTGACTTGCCCAGGGTCACACAGCTAGTAAGTGTCAAGTGTCTGGTCTGAGACTGGATTTGAACTCAGCTTCTCCTGACTCCAGGGCCAGTGCTCTATCCACTGCACCACTTGGTTGCCCCCATCACTCGCTCTTTCCTTTTCTTACCTAACTGTCCTTGAATGGTTGGCTCATACTATGTCCTGGTGGATAACAAACCAGGCAGGAGTTGGGTGGGCACGTACCATTTCTAGCTTCTTGAAGAAGTGGTATTTACTGCTGAAAGGAACTTTAGGGATCTCATCAAGTCCAATTCCTTCATTCAATGGATATGGAAACCAAGGAAACAGTGCAAAAGTGACCTGTCCAAGGCCAAATAGGTAGTAAGTGCAGAGCTAAATTCAAACCCAGGTACTCTGACATTAAACCCAACTGCTGTCTTCTAACTTTCTCACTTCTGTCCATCCTCTCCTAGATCCTGTTCCATATCCTGCTTCTAGTTCATTCTTAGTCTCCCTTTATTTCATGTGCTTCCTGCCCACTCTCTATCCCCTTGACACTAGGGTCCCAGGTCTTCTCCATCTCAGCCCAGTCTGTCTCTTGATCACTTTCCTCCTCAAACATTAGCATATCCAAGCAAACTCAGTCACCCTGAATCTGGGTTTGGCTGGACATTGTGAGTCTACTAGAGACCTAGAATTACCTATCTGTCACAGATCCAGATCCTGAAACTCTTGAACTTATTTTCTATGGCCTCCCAGAACTTTTTATGACTCCCCCTTTCCTCTCCTGAGTTCAAACACCCACATTTATCCAAGAGGAAAGAGGAGGAAGACAGAATTATAGATATGCTAAATCTGAGAACTGTGGGGGACCTTAGAGGTCATCTCACCCAAGCCATATATGGCCAAAGGTCCCCTCTACAACAGACTGTATGAGTCATCCTCCAGTTTATGCTCAACTATTGTTACCAATTATGGCCCCTGGGATGATATAGAAAAAGCCCATGACCTATTCCACAGGAAAAACATTCAGGCATATGTCGAAAGCTCTCATGTGCATTCTCCTCCTGTCTCCCAACCTAGTCCAGTCCATTTACAAAGTAAACATGAGACCTGGCTTTTCATTCTGCCTCTGACTCATGTAGTGACCTTGAGTAGGTCCCTTCCCCCTCTCCAGGCCTCAATTCCTGCCTCTGCAAAATAAAGGGGTTAGAGTAAATAATTTCTGAGCACCGTAAAAGAAGGTGATTTTGGTCTGATGTAGTTACCTTGAGCCTCAGTTTATTCCTCCTCAAAATGAGTGACCCTGGAGTGACCTCAAGTTCTGAGAGTCTACAGTTTAGGCAGAGCTACCGCAAGGATGGTTAAAGTAGCAACTCACCCTGCTCTGGGAGCTGTGGGATTGGGCCATGGGACCTACTTGTATATAGATGAGAAGTAGCCAGGTGGAGCCAGTTGATCTACCTAAAGGGTAAGAGGCTTATAAAGGGAAAGGGAAAGAGAGAGAAAGAGAAGAGAAGAGAGAAGAGAGAGAGAGAGAGAGAGAGAGAGAGAGAGAGAGAGAGAGAGAGAGAGAGAGAGAGAGAGAGAGAGAGAGAGAAAGAAAGAGAAAGAGAGAGAGAGAGAGAAAGAGAAAGAGAGAGAGAAAGAGAAAGAGAAAGAGAGAGAGAGAGAGAGAGAGAGAGAGAGAGAGAGAGAGAGAGAGAGAGAGATTGATTGATTATTTTCATTTTAGATCAAATCCCTTGGCATGATAAATTGCATCTTCCAAGGGAATAAAGCTCAGGTGCAGAAGACAGAGATGGGTAAACAAGTTGAATAATCCCTTGTGTTGCTTCTACCTTGGGGAAAATAAACTTATTGATGGCCAACCTTTCAGGCAGCTGGGGCCTGGAAGTGAAGAGAAGGGGGGAGAGGGCGAGATGGATGCCTTGGCCCAGACAGCAACCCCTTCCTTTCTTTTTTTTTTTAATCTTTTTTTAAACTGTTAATTTATTTTGATTTATCAACAATCACTTCCATAAGCTTTTGAGTTAAAAATTTTTTCCCCTCCCTCCCCACCTCCCTCCCCAAGATGGTGCACAATCTGATATAGACTATATATATACATTCCTATTAAACATAGTTTCATATTAGTCATGTTGTAAGAATTCGAACCAGTAGGAAGAACCACCAGAAAGAGGAAACAAAACACAGAAGAAAAAAAAATAGCAAATAGTATGCTTTGATCTGCATCCAAATGCCATAGTTCTTTCTTTGGATGCAGATAGCATTTTCCATCATGAGGCCTTTGGAGATGTCTTAGATCCTTGTATTGCTGAGAAGGGTTAAGTCTATCAATATTAGTAATTGCACAATGTTGCTGTTACTGTGTGTAATGTTCTCCTGGTTCTACTTCACTGAGCATCAGACCATAAAAATCTTTCTAGGTTTTTCTGAAGTCTACCTGTTCATTTCTTTTAACACAATAGTATTCCATTACATTCATATATCACATTCACAGTTATGATTACTATCTGTGTCTTTCTCTCCATCCTCCCCCCCCATTTATGCTTTTCTTTCTCCTTTCCCTCCTCACTAGTGTTTTGCCTTTGACCACCGCCTCCCTCAGTCCCATCTGCCTTCTATTAGACTCCTCACTTTTCTTTCCCCTTTTCCCTCCTACTGCTTATAGGGCAAGTTAGATTTCTATACCTAACTGATTATGTTATTCCCTTCTTGAGCCAAATCTGATGAGAGTAAGGTTCAAACAATACTCATCTCCCCCCCTTCCCTCTGCTGTAATCAGTTTTTGTGTCTTTTCCTGCAATGTAATTTACCCTTGTCTGTATCCTCCTTTCCTTTTCTCTCAGTACATTTGCTTAGTTAGATCAGATTAATCCACTGACTTGGATCCATTTAACCCACTTGATTAGATTTTTTCTTTTAATATTACAACAAAGTCAATTTATACCCACCCCTTTATGTATACCCCTCTAATATGATGTAATAACAATACAGTTCTCAAGAGTTACAAGTGTCATATTCCTCTGTAGGGGTGTAAATAGTTTGACCTTATTAATAACATGTTGTTTCTTTCTGTCCCGTTTACCTTTTTATGTCTCTCTTGAGTCTTGTATTTGAAGATCAAATTTTCTGTTGAGCTCTGGTCTTTTTATTAGGAAGGTTTGGTTGGAAGGACATTTCATTGAATGTCCATCTCCTCCTCTGAAAGATCATGCTCATTTTCACTGGGTAATTGATCCTTGGTTGTAATCCAAGTTCCTTTGCCTTATGGAATATCATATTCCAATCCCTATGGTCTTTTAATGTAGAAGCTGTGTAATCCTGACTGTGGTTCCATGATATTTAAATTGTGTCTTTCTGGCTGCTTACAGTATTTTCTCTTTGACCTGGTAATTTTGGGATTTGGCTACTATATTCTTTGGTGTTTTCAATTTGGGATCTCTTTCATGAGGTGACTGGTGGATTCTTTTGATGACTATTTTACCCTCTGGTTCTAGGACCTCAGGGCAGTTTTTCTTGATGATTTCCTGAAAGATGCTGTCCAGGCTGTTTTTTTTGTCATGATTTTCAGGTAGGCCAATAATTTTTAAATTATCTCTCCTGGATCTATTTTCCAGGTCAGTTGTTTTACCAATGAGGTATTTTATGTTTTCATCTATTTTTTTCACTCTTTTGTTTTTGTTTGACTGATTATTGCTGATTGGCTCTCACAGAGTCATTAGCTTCCATTTGCCCAATTCTACTTTTTAACAAATTGTTTTCTTCTGTTAGATTTTGTACCTCCTTCCCCATTTGGCCAATTGTAGTTTTTAGGGGCTTGTTTTCTACAGTTAATTTTTGTCCTTCTTTTTCCAAGCTATTGATTCTCTCTTGCATACCTCTCATTTCTTTTCCCATTTTTTCTTCTACCTCTCTTATTTGACTTTTAAAACCCTTCTGGAGGTCTTCTAAGAAGGCTTTTTGGGCTTCAGACCAGTTCATATTCCCTTTTGAGGTTCCAGATGTGGGTTTGTTGACAATGTTGTCCTCTTCAGAATTTCTGCCTTGATCTTCACTCTTCCCATAATAAGAATCTATGGTACGTTTCTTTTTGCTCATGGTGTTTGTTTATTTCCTGGCCTTTAAAGAGATTGGGCTCTCCTGCTGGGGAGCAGAGGGCACTGACCCAAGCTTCTTATGTTGGGAGCCTAAGGCCTTGGTCACTGGTTTTGTGTGCTGGGGCCTCCAATGTTGGCAGTTGGAGGCTGTAGGGTTCTGGCAGCTTACCTGGTGTTGGGCTGGAATCAGCAACACTGGGACTCTAGGGGTTGGATTGGGTAGTCTGGCCCCTGGAGGTGCCTGCCTTTCTTTTCGTTTTGCTTTCTTCAGCTCCTTTCAGATGGATGTTGCAGGATGTTTATCCATCTGGGGCCCCTTGGAGCTTGCTTCCCTTATTCATTTTTTTGTTGTGTCTAGGCAATGTGGTTAAATGACTTGCCCAGGGTCACACAGCTAGTGTTATGTGTCTGAGGCCAGATTTGAACTCAGGTCCTCCTGAATCTAGGGCTGGTACTCTATCCACTGATAGTGGATAGTACTTTTGCTGAGGCAGTGGGAGACCTGGGTGCTGTAGAATGCCGAGGCACCTGGTGGTTTTCCAAGCTGGTTTCCAACAGTTCCCCCACCCTCACTGAGGCACTAGGGGGTCCAGGTGTTGGTGTTTGCCTGCTCAACCACCTGTGTTTCAGGATCTTCCCCTAGTATGCTGAGGTGGGGCTTTCTGCTAGCTTGCCGGGATGCCTCACATTCTGTACTGCTCCCCTAACCCAGGGCAATAGGGGCCTTTCCCATTAATCTCTCAAGCTACCTGGGCTACTGGACTGCTGCACCCCATCTTTCTTCTGGTTCAGCTATTCCAGGTTTTTTCCTGGGGTGATATTTTCTGGGCTTTCAGAGGTTAACAACGGAGGGTAAGAGCTACTTCTTACTCCACCATCTTGGCTCCCAGAAGCAGAAGGTCCAACCCCTTCCTTTCTAAGCACATCAGTGCCACCATGAAAGTGAACCAAGAGATTGTGATGCTCACTTGTGATTTTCATTCTTTCCTGAGACTGTCCCTAGTCACTTTTGACCTCCTCACTTGACTATTTTGGGCTAATCTTCTCAACTGTATAAGGAAGGAATGGGTAGGCTAGGTGATCCCTAAACATCCCTCTAAGTTCTAACAGTCAAAAAATCTCTGAATTTCTACCCCTTCATTGTCATTTGGTCTTTCCATTTGGGGGAATCCAGGACAACTCTAAACGCTCATCCACATGTCAGCCCTTCTGATACTAGAACGGCTTTCGTATCACCCTACCAAGTCTCCTCTTCTCTAAGCTCAATATGTCTAATTCCTTCATTTGCTCCTTATATGAGATAGATTCAAAGCCTGTAGCCATCCTTGGTTTCCCTTCTATGGACACTTTCTGGCTCATGAATGTCCTTCTTAAACCGTGATGCCTAGACCTGAACACAGCACTTGAGATGTGATCTGTCCAAGGAAGAGATTATACCGGGACTGTCACCAACTTGTTCCTGGAATATGTGCCTCTCCTCATATGCCCCGAGGTAGCATTGACTCTTTTGGCTGGCCCATCACACTGTTGACTCATATTGTCCTCAGGCAATCCTCTCAAGCCCTTAGGATCCCCCCCCCCCAAATAAAATGCCTCTGCTTTTTTTGGTGTCCTCATATGTGAATGACTTGCTCTCTTGCAAGCCCTCGAGGTATCAAAAATGCAGAAGTTGCAGAGGATTCACAGATATCCATAAACAGATAAACACACAAGACTGAACAGCCCATGAGGTCCCCTGAAAAGGGATGAGGTGAAGGTTGTTCTTGAGGACACCCTTTGATATCATAGTAATTCCTTCTTTCCCCCAGACTCTTATCCTTTCTCCCCTAGACTCATGATACTCTGTGATTCAGAAGTTAAACAGGGGCAGCTAGGGTAGTGCAGTGGGCAGAGCAGTAGCCCTGGAGTCAGGAGGACCAGAGTTCAAATCTGGCCTCAGACACATTAACACTTAACTAGCTGTGTGTGACTCTGGGTAAGTCACTTAACCCCAACTGCCTCACCCCCCCCCAAAAAAAAGTTAAACATATTTTGGGGCTAACACAGAATCCATTGTCCATCGGACCTGCACTGTCCAAGGTACTCACTATATTTTCTCTCCATATAGGACACTGCACAGTAACTATTTATGCAGACCATCTTCATCTTTCTCCAATGAGCTTTCTGGATCAGGAAATGCCCTTCTATCTTTAGTAGGTCAGAATCTCAGGGTCTCAAACTTGGGAACTTATACACTTAAGAATTCCGGGTTAACTGTGAGGTGTTGCCTAGGATATCCTTCTTCTCTGACATGGTTAGATTCTGGGGTCACACTCCTTAGAGAATTAAAAATGTCCTCTCCTTCATGCAGGATTTGATGTCCATAAACATTGTCCATGAGGTATACTCTAGGTTAAGCATTTTCACAGATTTGAACTGGAACTATATTCAGAAGGCACCAATCCACCAGGACCTGTAGCAGTTCAGTGCCCCCAAGGTCCCCGCAGCACTCTACAAAGGTTTTGAGTTAAAATCTCTCGAAACTTCCAACCCACATGAAAAGATTTCTTCAGGCCTTTGAGACAGTCCATCTGACATCAACCCTGAATGAATTAGGGTTAAATGCAGTGCTTTGGGCTGAGAGGTTGAGGTTAGGGAAAATGCTCTCTTCCTTTCCTTGCTAATTTAACCTGACTCCTTAACTGCTTCTAAATCCACCTGTCAGCCGTGACTCAGTCTGAGGCTTTGCAAAGCCCACTCTGCAGCATTTCTCTGATCTAAGCAAAGACTAGCTAATAAGAAGGTTCAGTTCCATCTATCAAATGGGATAATATGAGGTCCCAGAGGATCCAATGAGATCCTTCTTGCAGACCTCAAAAGCAGTAGAGAAATGCCAGTCACTTGTTTCACAAGTATCCCTTCCTTGGCATCAGGCAGGCATGTGCCGGCCCTCAGAGTGTCTTTAGACAGCCCAGGCCTCCTGTCCAGGCCCTCTTCCTTCCTCATCCCTGCTGAGCTCTTTCCTCTGGTGGCTTCTAGGTGGAGTCTAAGGACCCTGCCTGGATTCGTCAATTGCTTTTTGGTGACAAAAGTGCTGAGGCTGGGCTCCTACAGCTAGAGGAGGTACAGGATCAGCTTTGAGAACTGGAGTGCAGAATTCTGACTCATGTGGCAGAAGAGCAGGACAAGTCTGCAGCAAAGCTGATGCCAGGTTGAGGCTGATCCTTCTTAAGGCCGGAGTGACCACTGGGGTGACAGAGGAGGTGAGGCCTGCCTCACTGCCTGTCCTCCTAGCTGAGGTCACAGGTTTGCCCAGAGAGGAGCCTGCCAGGAGAGAAAATCTCAAGCACTGGCCAAGCAGGCAGCATCCTTGCCTGTCCCCTACATCGGCTGGGCCGGTCCTGCAGGTGGCCTGGCCCACAAGTGTATATCTATTTTAAATTTCCTTTGGACTTCCCTTTTCTCCTCTTCAACCCACACTTTCCTATCTTTTTTCCCCAAGTTGACTCTGTTTTCCCAAAGTTGAATCTATATTTAAATGCACACTTATCACTATTAGATTCCTTATTGGAATACGGTCCTTGAGATTTTCTTTCCAGATAGGAAAGTCAAAAATGAAATGGTTTCACTTGTTTCCCAGGTGCTGTTTGTTGTGGTCACTCACCTACCTGGCCCCAAAACATTGTGTTTGAAAGGAATGTTAAACATTATTTAAATGGTGCGGGGACAGAGCCAACACAGTGCAGTAAATGCAGCAACTTTCTTTAGCTCTCCCCCAAACACCTAGAAATAACTTGGATAAATGGCTCTAAATAAATTCTAGAGCAGCAGAAACCAGAAAAGACAGAGTTATGCAAATGTCCATTCCAAGAGAATCTGGATGGTCGATAAGAAAGCTCTATCTCACCTTTGATTATAAAGATCTATTGTGTAGAGTTAGGAGAGAAACACAGTTCACCTTGGGCATGTAGGAAATCAATGTGGTACAGGGCTCAGGGGACTGAATCATGGGCAGCTGTGGCAGTTTCCCCGATTCCTTGACCCAGAACTCCAAAGACAACTTAGAATGTCACTATGAAAATTCTGTGACCTCATGAGAGAGAAAGTAATTCTCAGCCCCATTCCAGGTTGTACCCCTGGTGGGGCGGGCGCAGCTGCTTCTGGATATCCTAGCCCACAGATTGAGGGGGAATTCAGTGGCTGATCAGAGGGAGATTACAGTGATTTCTATGCTGGTGTAGAGGTAGAATTCTCTTTCTTTGCCATGGTTTTATGTGGGTCACAGCTCTGGGTGGCACTCCTAGGGCAAGGAAGAGTGCTGGCGTGGTGGAGCTATTAACAATGGGGCAGAGAGAACACTCCTCACAGTTCCAAGGTAAAAAGGAATGTTTGTGGTCTCTGATAGATCAGAGCACTGGCCAGGAAAGGAATAAATACATCACTCTTTATCATACCACTTTGGAAGACCTGAAAAGTTAGATGTTTCTGGAAATATCTGTGAACATAATTGCAGAAAACCCTCAAAGCTGGGGACAGTGTATTCTGCACACTGGATGTAGATCCTTTACCTTAACAAAGAGTTTAATACTCAAGTAATTGGCTGGGATCATGAGCAAACTGTGCAAAAAATGTCAGAGCATAGAATCTCTTTTTTTGGTGGCAAAGAAGATGAAAACATACAACTAGGAGACGACAACAAAGTCAAAGTTCCTACTCCACAGCCAACAAGAAAAATAGGAATCGGTCGCAGGCCATGGAAGAACTGGGAAGAGCAATAAATGTGACGCAAGAAAATCATAAAAAAACTAGTTAGCAGTTTGCTAAAGTAGACCCAAAAAATGGTGAAGAAAATCACACTTAAAAAACTAGAGAAACCGAAATGGCAAAAGAGGTCCAAAAAGCCAATGAGGAGAAGAATGCCTTTAAAAGCAAAATTGGCCAAATGGAAACAGTCCAAAAGCTCAGTGATGAAAACACTTCCTTAAAAATTAGAATGGAGCAACTGGAAACTACTGAGTTTATGAAAAATGAAGACATTGTAAAACAAATCCAAAAGAATGAAAAGTGAAAGACAATGTGGAGAGAAATCATGATAGATTTATTAAGATTGAACTGTTTACATTCGTGCATGGAATGATGATATTTATAACTCATGAGATGTTTGTCAGTATTAGGGCAGTTGAAAAAAAAATATATGTATGTATGTATGTATATAGATAGATAGATAAAGAGATACAGGGCACAGGGTGAGTTGAAGATTAAAGGGTCATGTGTGGAGAATAACATTAAGGGATGAGAGAAGATGATACTCGGAGAAGAGGAAAGGGAGAGGCAGAATGGGGTAAATTATCAAAAGAAAAGATAAAAGAAAAGTCTCTTACAGTGGAGGGGAAGCAGGGGAAGGTGAGGGAATGAGTGAATCTTATTGTCATTGGATCTAGCTTAAGGAGGGAGTAACATACACATTCAATTGGGTATAGAAATCTGTGTTACCTTACAGGAAATTAGGGGGAGAAGGGGATAAGAGAGCAGGGTGATGATAGAGAGGAGGACAGATTGGGAAAGGGGGTAATCAGAAGGAAATACTTCTGAGGAGGGACAGGGTGAAAAGAAGGAATAGAAGAAATGGGAGGGCAGGATAGGATTAAGGGAAACAGAGTTAGCTTTTCACAACATGTCTACTATGGAAGTGTTTTGCATAATTGCACATGTACAACCTATATTGAGTTGCTTGCCTTTTCAATGAGGGTGGGTGGGGAGGGAGAAAGAGAGAAAATTTGAAACCTAAAGTTGTAAAAACATATGTAGAAAAAAATGTTTTCACATGGTACTGGGAAATAAGAAATACAGGAGATGGGGTATAGAAGTCTATGTTGCCCTACAGGAAACTAGAAGGGGAAGGGGATAAGAGAAGGGGGGAGAGATAGAAGAGAGGACAGAGTAGGGGAAAGGGTGAGATGGGACAAAAAATTGGAACTCAAAAACTTGTGGAAGTGAATATTGAAAACTAAAAATAAATACATTCATATTAAAAACAATATTCTGATTCCCAAATGAAATAATCTCTAGTAGCAAGACATATCTTTACTATAGAATACCAGTTATATGGGGCTAATATTCTATTGGATCCGGAATTAACTGAAGCCTCTTTTAATTCTTTTAACAATTTAAATTTAAAACTGTCTCTGAACTCTAGTGTTTGTACTTGGGTTATTTACATCTTCCTCCTCCTGTACTGGAAATAGCATTATTCTGGGCACAGGTAATTTGAATTCCATGGGTACTACCTGTCCCTTTTCCTCTGCTTTTATAATTGCCTTTTCTAATAATCCTTTACAGTGTATTTTATGGCTTTTTTGATATTTATTTATCTCCTCATTATGTTTTCTGTAGGAGCTTGATCTATGTGAGGGTGAGGGATGTGGTGGTGCTGAAGGTCTAATACATTTTGCATAGATAACATCTTCTACAATTCTAAGCTTTTCCTGAAATATTCTATTCATATCTTCTTCTTCCTTAGTTCCTGCCCCCAAATCTGCCTTATGTATTTCAGTTATTAATAACGAGGATCGAGACATATTTTTAGCACGGTTGAAATTGAGAATGTAGCTATGGAGAAAGCACCTGGACGTACTTCTCTATAGTAATCACTCATTTGTCTACCCACCATTTCCCTTATTTGTAAATCGATTTTTCTTTCCTGAAGCACCCACAGGCAGCATGTTTCTACACATTCCAAAAATTCCTGTAACTGACCATCTGTGAAGAAAAAACTTATTTCTTCACTCTTTCTTTTAAAAGTTGCACATTATTTTCTCTGTCTTTGCTTCTGCTTTGTATTTGACCCATACTTTCAATGTCAGGTGCGCCTCCCAAAACCTTAAGAAAGTGCTCATTGCCTTCCAAAGGGATACTATTGTTATGCTGCAGCCCTTTTCTTTTCTTTTCTCATGCTCCTATTCCGAAGCCTTTTTACTTTTGTTTTTCCTATTTCCCCACTTTACCCGGAGCCTTTTGACCCCTAAAACTGTTAAAAAATAGGGTGTTGCGACCTTCGCTCTCTTTACCTTGATTGCACAGGTTGAGCCGCCAAGGCCCTTCTTTTCATAGCGCAGAACCGCCAGGAGCTTTTTCTCCAGAGTTTCCAAGAGAGCTCCTTGCTCCTATCTCTTTTGCTTTTGAGCCCTTTTGATTGCCAGGGTCCAGTTTAAATACTGAAAATAACAATCACCCCGGAGGCCCTCGTGGCTAATCCCAGCCCTCAAGTGATTTTTTAATAAGACACACCGGTTTGCTATCAATGTACCTGAGTAATCCCACCATAAGGTATTAGTTTAATTATACAGACCTGCTTGCTATCACAGTTCAGGATTGGTCAGAGTACCCAGGCAGTAGAAAGTGGTGCAATAACAATAATCCTATCAGAAGGATCAGGAAAAACTCCTTGTGCAAAATAATATTTGATCTGCATCTTAAAGGAAGAAAGGGGAGTCCATTCCAGGCATAGAGGATGGCCAGTACAAAATGAGCTCAAGCATCAAATCAAAATGCCATAACTTTCCAATGAGCTAAATCATCAATGAAAAACATCAACGTGCAACAGAGAAGCATGTGAAGCTTTTCTTTCAAATATGGTCATTGGCATAGCTTTCCTTAAAAAGATAGGAAAATGGATTGTCTGGAACAACAGAGAGAGTGAAGAGTTTAATTAGATCACTGAGTATTGGAGAGAGGAGGTGATGGACAAATAAGTCTTGAGAGACAATTGGAGGCCACTTAAGTAGGGGCCCAACGGATTGAGCATCAGGCCTGGAGTCAGGAAGACTTGTCTTTTGAATCTGAGTATATCCATTTCCTTTGCTACATAGATCCAAGTGGTCATAAGCTGTCTCTGGAGACATAAATTAGAAGATAATGAAGAAAGTGTTTCACATTTAGTACTCACATATTAGCATCACAGAGTGCATATTTATTGGTTCATATTAATTTTCTGATGTATGGTGCAGATTGGTTTGAGGGTATCCAGGTATCATGCAGCTTTGCTTGTACCAGGCTATCTGTAGCAGCCATTTTTCAGACAGTGGTTCGTATATTCCACTGGAGTCTTAGAACCTCTATCTTTGGCTCTTACAATATTCATACTTATTTGGGGTGTCCCTGTTCAAGTCTTCTGACTTTGAACTAATCACTTCCACTTTCTAAGTTTGACTTTACTATTTTAAAAAATGAATGTTGAAATGCTGGAGCTACAAGAGACCTTAGAACAAATAATATAGAATGTGAGCACAGAGAAAGGACCCTAAGAATATCTTTTAGAGAATTTTAGTACAATGGTCTTATTTTATAGTTGATGAAACTGTCGCTCAGAGAAGGGGGTAAAAGAGTTACTCAAATCACACAGCAAATCAATAGCAGATCCCCAAAGAAAAGTTAATTACCTTTTAACATCTATTTTTTTGTTCTTTCTAATGTATCAATATGGACCCCAGAGCCCCCATACAGTATTAACTATTCAAATTCTCTGATGAAACAAAATATTAGACTCACCTCTGTTCCTTCTAATTGATCATCTAAGAGAGAGAAAAAGGAGATTCCAAAGAATTAGTCTATGTATCAGAAACACATTATCCTAATCTTAGTAAACCCTAACATGAATTAGGTCAACCTTTTTTTCCTTCCTAATTTCATCCTGGACGAGACTAACTAGGGTCAGGAAACGGATACAAGTTTTAGTATGGCCTTCGTCAACAGTACTAAGGGTTGATACTCACAAGGGAGAAGGGTTGAACTTGGTTGTCCTAATACTTCCACTGAATCAGTTCATAGTCCAGAGGAAGTAGAATCATAAAGTGTGAGAGCTGGAGGGCTGCTAGAATATGGAACAGAAAATGTGAGAGGTAAAAGGGCACCAAGAATGTAGAACATTAGAACCTGACCTCAGAATATAGATTTAGACAACTAAAAATATAGGTTTAAAAAGATATATGCAGGATAGGAGCACCTCGGTGGCTCAGTGGATAGAGCTCTGGTCTTGGGGTCAGGAGGACCTGAGTTCAAATTTGGCTTTGGACATTTGACACTTACTAGCTGTGTGACCCTGTGCAAGTCACTTTATCCTGATTGCCTCACCAAAAAGCAAAAAAAAAAAAAAAAGGATAAACACAGGATACAAGCAAGCCCAGGTGAAAAAGGATGAATATATATAAAATATAGGAAAGACCTGTAATAACAGCACTGGGAATGCTAAAGATTGCAATGAGCTGAAGTTAATAGGGAAGACAAAAGGCTTTTGCTTGTGTCTGTGTTCTCTAAGTTATTTTATTTAAAAAAAAGTAGGATCAAATAAGTCAATCACTGAGTCAACTAGCATGTTGTGCCAGCTGGTGTCTGAGGGAACAGAGTGTTGGGCCTGGAATCAGGAATATCTGAGTTCAAATCCAGCTTCAGACACTTCCTAGCTGTGTTTACCCTGGGCAAGTCAGTTATCCTTGCTCTGTCTGACAAAAGGATCCACTGGAGGAGGAAATGACAAACCTTTCAGTATCTCTGCAAGAAAACTTTATGGAACAGTTATGATTATATAGGGTCATGAAGAGTTCAGACATTCTGAATGAGTGAATAACAGCAATGTGTGCCTGGGGAGACAAAAAAAGATAAAAGACAATCCCTGGTTCCCAAGGCACTCACAACATAATGGAGAAGACAACACGTAAATCACTATGAACAAACAGGATAGATTCAGGATAAACTGGAAATGGTCATCAGAAGGAAGGGAATGAGATTAAGAGTAGAGTGAGTAATGGCTCAGGGCAAATGGAGAAGCTAATGTATGACAACATGAAAACAGAGAAGCTCAACTCTCAAGTTGCTTTAATTTTCTTAGACTATGAGAATGATTTATAGATTACAAAGGACATGACCAAAATGGTTAATAGGAAGTTGATAAGCAAAATACCTCAGGACATCATAATAGATGACTTGACTTTACCTTGATGATTTCAAGACAGCCTGGTAAAGTTCATCCTTAGGAACTGGAAGAATGTGCATTCAGTAAAATATAAGCTCTTTAAGGACAGGGACTATTTGTCGTTTTTGTGTTCATGTCCCTAGTCCCTAGCAGAGTGCTTTGCACCATTAGGTGCTTGATAAGTGTTTCAGTTTAAGTGACCTAAGTGTAATTGCTGCGCTATTCTCAATGATCTTTGAAAAACTGTGCAGGATGGGACATTATGAGCCCTTGTTAACCTTCCACTGACCCTGACTTTGTAATTGGGGACTACAATTTATATGTTGATGCCTTCTGAAATATCCTTTTTTCCTAGTACATCAAAGTAGTGCACTGTCATGATCTGAACCTTCCCTCTACCCCAGCCATATATAAGAATAGCCACACCCTTGGAGTCACTAGTACCCAAAGTGTTCTATCTCTATAATCTATAACTCTAAAATTCTTCTATCTAACCCTATCCTCATTGCTTTACTTATTTCTATACCTCATCCTTTCTAATGTATTTTTCATTCTCACCATAACCTCTAATCACTCCACTCTGTGTGCTTTATTCGGGGACCATGCTGTTATAGATGCACTTTCATTCATGGAAAATCTTGGCCTCATAGTTAAGAATTCCAACTTCAGAGTTTCATGTGCTCTTGAATCCTTGAATCCTTTGTCCTATTGCTGCATATCTCTTTCCTAACCTCACATCTGAGTCAATTTTGCCTTCTGCCTTTCCACTCCTGTTCTCATGCTGCAGAATATTGCTAGATGAATTCATACAACTGTTCTTACTGGTTCCAATACCAAAGAGTAATGCCTGTTTCTCAGACTCAGATGGTTTTAGTGGGGGAGAAGAACTTAAGGGCTGTTCCCTTACAACAGGTATATCACTGAAGGTTGTAAACAGAAGAGTCACCAGGATTTTCCTAAAATGGGCAGAGGAAAAAGACTAGGTAGTGATATTGAAAGGGCTTTTTGAATGCCGATAAGGGTCATCAAAGAGCTTCCCTTGCACTAAATATTTGGCAGGAAGTCTATACGTGACTCATAGTTTCTCCCAAACACTTCCTTTACACATCATCAAGACCCTCTGAAATGTTGCCAGCAATCAGATAGTGCACTGAACGGGAAGGCAGAAAATAAATGTGAGACGTCGGCCAGGCGGAGCAGTAAAGACTGAGTCAGTTTATTCATCTGAGGGTAAAGGATATATAGAGAAAATCTAGCCTAACTTCAAAGAGTGTTTCCCGTGAGACACTCCCCAAAACATCTGCTGAGGATGTGACAACATACATTTCCTCGTTATGAGGGTTCCTAGATTGGGTTGTAGTTTCCAAGGCTTTCCCATGTGCCTTGGTGCCACCTGCATAGAGGAGTGAATGTGTAAATCTAAGGTTCAAAGAGTGAGAAGGAATGTCTCAGTAGCCTCCCTTGCAGGGAGAGATTTGGAGAGCCCTGGTTCCTAAATGATTGAGCCTTGTGGGTTAAGCCTGGACAAGAGGCAAATTCTGTCCTGGATGTTAAACCCAGATCAGACTCTTAGAGCGGCCCTCAACTCAGAAACAAGTTCCCAAGTGTCCTCCATGTAGAGAAATGGAATCATCCAAGTAAGTTTAAGGTGTCTGCTCATGTGTCTGAACCTCATAATACAATGAAAATGAAACTTCAAAATGAAACAGGATCAAGAAGAACACCAGATACAGGAGAAAGAGAATAGGAAGAGCAGGAGAAAGCAATGGCAAATCCAGGATGCAGCTTAGAGAGATGCAGAGGGTGCACAAGGAGGGGAAGAAATGGGAGGTTGTTGAGGGAAGGACTTCAGACAGTAATAGAAAGGGGGAGAAATGCTTTTTTGCAGATAATTTACTTATTTTTATATGGAATATGCAGGGATTCAGAGAAGCAGTTCAAATGAACATGTAGTGTTGACTTCTCAGGAATATGAATTTGAAAAGCAATTCAATGAGAACAAAGCCATCCAGTCGATGCAAGAGAACTGGAAGAAAATCGTTCTTATTTTCAGCTCTGTATGCTGCCTTTATATTTGGTGGTCAGCACCTAATGAACAAATGGGCAAAGTTGGAAGTCAGGAAGCCACTTGTACTGTGGTCCCTGAGCATTGCAGTCTTCCATATAGGGTTAGGGTACAGTTGTTGCTCTTCAAACTGGTGCTTATATTGTGTACATTTTGATGACCAAAGGCCTGAAGCAATCAATTTGTGATCAGAGTTTTTACAATGGACCTGTCAGCAAATTTGCGTCTTTTGCATTTGTATTAAGCAAATCACTTGAATTTGGAGAAACTATTAATTATTTTTCAAAAACAGAAACTCATCTTACTACATTGGTGTCACCACATCACTGTGCTGCTCTATTCTTGCTACTTTTAGAAGGACATGGTTGGTTCATGACCATGAACTATGAAGTGCATGCAGTAATGTATTCCTACTATACCTTGCAAGCGGTGGGGTTCCAGGTCTCACCGAAGTTCACCATGTTCATCACCTTGTTTCTGATTACACAGATGTTGATGGGTTGTGTAGTTAACTATCTCGATTTTTCCTGGATGCAGCAAAACCAGTGCCGCTCTCATATTCAGAACATCATGTGGTCCTCACTCATCTATCTCAGCTACTTTGTGCTCAGGGTCATCAAGAAAAGAAAAAAAAAACTAAACAAAATAAAATGGCACCAGGTATCATATATATGGTCCAGCTAAATATAATAATATTAATAATTAAAAAGCAAGCTTGGCAGCTTAGGGGTAACTAGGTTGATGTAACCCAATAAATGTATGATCCTTTTATGGTGAGGACTCATTGAGTTCAACTCCATCTCAAAGAACTGCTGCTAAGAGACACCATCCCTCTCATACCTGTCAAGTGTAGGAGGAAAAATGAAGAAAGAAAGAAAGAAAAAAAAAGAAAGAAGAAAGAAAGAAAGAAAGAAGAAAGAAAGAAAGAAGAAGGAAGGAAGGAAGAAAGAAAGAAAGAAAAAGAAAGAAGGAAGAAAGAAAGGAAGGAAAGAAGAAAGAAAAAGAAAGAAAAAGAAAGAAAGGAAGAAAGAAAGAAGAAGAAAAAGAAGGAAGGAAGGAAGGAAGAGAAAGAAGTTATTAACAAACTTTATGAAAAAAGTATTTAGTAAGCATCATATTTCCCTAAAACAGAAGACTTTTACTCAAAACCAAACCAAAAAAAGTATTTTTATATACTGTCTATTCTTTTTCAACACTAAACTTCAGCCAACAAAAAAAAAAAAGGACAAAAAGGTTGGAGGTGCAGGGGGGTGTGCGTATAAAACCAACACTTTGGCAGAAATGAAAACTTTCCTTGTGAAAGGTTGGCAGTTTTAGACTAAATTCAAAAGGTATTTAGAAGGTTTCTTTAAGTGAACATGAGCCACAACTTGATGAGTAAGAGAAAAGCTTGATGGTTCCCACCGCAATCTAGAATTTGTGTTCAACCCTTGATCAGGTTTTCAAAATGAGGAACAAAACATGACTGCCCATTTCTAAACGAGAGAGAATTTGTCCAAGGGCATGTCCGATGGAAGTCTGTTGATTTCTATTATTGCACAGGATAAAAGAGATTCATCTTTGTTCTTTTACCAGAGACTTTTAAAAAGAACTTTGGAGGGGAGGGGAAAAGAGACAGAAGAAGAAGAAGAAGAAGAAGAAGAAGAAGAAGAAGAAGAAGAAGAAGAAGAAGAAGAAGAAGAAGAAGAAGAAGAAGAAGAAGGCGGCAGCAAAACCACAACCAAATTATATGAAAATTGGGGGACAAGATGGTGGAGTAAAAAGGTAGTTGCTCTCACTCTCCCCTATCAACCTCTGAAAACCAGAAAATCCCCCCCAAAAAAAACCCTGGAACATCTGAAGTAGAAGAAAGTTGGGGAGTAGCAGTGCAGCAGCCCAGCAAATGGGTCTCCCAGTGCCTCAGCAAAAATAAGGGTAATAGCACTACAAAAGGCCCTGGGCGGATAAGTATCCTGCACCATTTATCTGAAAAGAGCAGAAGAAAGCAACCTAAAGT